GAACACACCGTTATTCTGTGTATCGTGTTGTTTGCAATTTTATACATCGATCGGAAAGTCATTCTGTAATATTTATTGGTTTAGGCAACTGAACATACTTTTCGCGACTGGTGCGCCATCTGGCATAGAAAATATTGATTATCATGGTATCCAAACGTAAAAGAGGACCGTTGGGGGCAGCACCTCCCGGTGCCCTCTAAAATTTTTATGCAATGTTTAATTTTAGAAAAAACTACTTACTTTTTTCAAAAATGGTAAATACAAAAGTTGTTCAGTGGCAAATGAAGAATGGCGGATGATAACATTTATATATATATGACTTGTTTTATATTTTTTTCATTTTATTTTTTTTATGTTTATAAAAAAAAGTTATCATGCGCCAATCTACGATGCATAAGAAGCACGGATACAAAAAAGATATTTTTTTTGGTGAGTATTAAACCCGCAATTTGAACATTAACATTTCCAATATGGCGGACGGGTATAGAACCCTCTTAAAATTCGAGAGAAGCTAAAATGGTGGTTTCTACCTTATTGAGACTGAGGCCCTCAAGGGTAAACTCGCAGTGTTAAAAAACGAGAAATGATTTAACTTGGAACGAAAGACCGAAAGCCGATAGTAGTATTAAGACGTTGAATTTCGTGGTTTGTGAAGCATTGGCATTACTTAGGTAAAACCATGTGATGATTTTCACAAGCCTTGATTATTAAAACCATTCTATATTGCCTTTTGATTAGGCTTTATAAACTTGTTTGAGCAATTTATCCAATAATAATTGGGCCCTTTACCTGTTAAGTCTGCTCATGTAAAATATTTGGGCTCCTTACTTCGCCTGTTTATCTAAAAATATTTGGTCCCTTTCAAATATGCTCATGTAAAATTATATGATCCCTTTACTCCCTTAGATCTGTTCATGTAAAAATTTTTGCATCCATTGTCGCCAAAGCTTACCTAGTATAAAAATTTAAAATGGTTTCAAAAAAGCGACAACATCTTTTTTATTTTGATAAATTTATTAATACCAATTCTATGGGCAGTGCATTTATCATTATGATAGTTTAAAAATAGTAGTGTTGGACAACTTTACTACTGATGTATTTTGTACATATTTTTTAAAAATTTTCGGTAATTCCAAATTTTTGAGTTATTTTGGTCTTGGTTTTGAAAAAATTTACTAAAAAAGCTAATCGGTCTTGTAAATCACTAATTTTTATGCAGTGCATCTCATTAGCTGGACAAGCTTTCATCATGCCTATTATTAAAGACTTTAAGAAATAAATATCTCATTGTAATATATAAAGAAAAACCTTAATCAATAGACTTTTCTCGTCTGATGCTTACTAAAAAAGTTGATCCAAGGTCTTGTATATCACTAATTTTCATGAAATACATCTCGTTAGCCCGACAAGTACCCGTTTTTATCCGTTATTCTTAAAGAAGTACGTCAAAATTTTACTCTCAACATTTCTGGCTGTTTTCAATAAGGGTTTTCAATTAAAACACAATTTACAGATTTTATGTTTTTCGATTTTCCGATTTTTCGATTTTTCGATTTTTCGATTTTTCGATTTTTCGATTTTTCGATTTTTCGATTTTTCGATTTTTCGATTTTTCGATTTTTCGATTTTTCGATTTTTCGATTTTTCGATTTTTCGATTTTTCGATTTTTCGATTTTTCGATTTTTCGATTTTTTGATTTTTCGATTTTTCGATTTTTCGATTTTTCGATTTTTCGATTTTTCGATTTTTCGATTTTTCGATTTTTCGATTTTTCGATTTTTCGATTTTTCGATTTTTCGATTTTTCGATTTTTCGATTTTTCGATTTTTCGATTTTTCGATTTTTCGATTTTACGATTTTTCGATTTTTCGATTTTTCGATTTTTCGATTTTTCAGTGGATCGTAGAAAAAATGTTCTACATCCTCATGAATATTAGCTTATCTACGCACATACTACAAAACGAAAAAGTATGCTATTGCGTTCACCTGAACAAATATATTTTATATCCATTATAGGTAGTGAGAACACTGCAAAAAAATATAATCCACCAATCAGAGTTCATATTTTGGACACCCAACTACCTACTAATATTTTTTTCTACACCCACATGGATATTAGCTTATCTACGAACAGATTATAAAACGAAAAAGTATGCTATTGCCTTTAACTGAACGAATATATTTCATATTCATTATAGGAACACTGCAAAAGAATGAAATCGACCAATTACCGATCATATTTTTGCTTTTATTGCTATTATTTTTAAAATTTTAAATAAGTGACAATTTTGTCAAACTAATTGTCAGTATATTTTTTAGTTATTGAGATTAGCATATATTAAAATGGGTTATGCTTGTGTAGAATCGATCAATAATAGCATTTTTTTTTTATTTCGTCTAAGATGGGGAAAAAATTCTTTTTTTTTTTCGTTTATTTTATTTTAAAAATTATTAAAAGTCATAAATTATTCTAACATTAGTTATTTTGTCCTAATAACCTAAAATCCGGCATTGTGCTCAAATTTCGTCTTCGTGCGATATGGCCATCATATCCACTCTTGTTGCACAAACTACTATTTTCTACACCCACATGGATATTAGCTTATCTACGCACAGAATACAAAACGAAAAAGTAAGTTATTGCGTTCAACTGAACGAATATATTTCATATCCATTCTAGGTAGTAAAAACACTGCATAAAAATTAAATTTACCAATCACAGTTCATATTTTAGACACCCAACTACTATTATTTTTATAATTTTAAATATGTATGTATGGTTGCAACTATTAAAGTCGCAACCCCCTTAGAAATCTCACCTTTACAGTCAGCAGCTGTTATTTGACAGGTCGTTGGAGAATGTTTGCAATGTATGAAATGTGCGGAATCTTAGGAATGTTAGACGTTAGGAATGCTTGGAACGCGTAAAATTAGTCACATAAGAAATGCATGGGAGGATTTTAAGAAAATTAATATTAAAGTAGTTCGGATAAACCAAAAATTCTGAAAATCAATAGGGTTCTAAGTTAGAAGCAATTATTCAAAAAAATTAAAACCGCAAGTCACTCAAAACTTTCGTTCTCGTGTTATCGTGCCGGCATACATACGCACAGATGACAAGACGAAACATTTTTTTGCATTTTCGGACTCAGAATGATCGGAAACGTAAAAAAAGGTTTAAAAAAATGGTGATAAGAAAATTTTTTCGTCTGCACGAATTCAATACTGAGGCCCCATAGGATGGGCCTCAGTAATTAGCTATATTTAAGACATATTTCAAAACACTCTCTATAATCTAAACCAGTTCTATCACCAATGTTCGTTAGCTCAGTATCTTGTAAGTCTGTGTATTAAACAATTTTAAAATGTAAACCTACCTAAATTATGATAATTTAATTTGAGGTTAGAATCAATTCTCTAATTAAAAAAAACTTAATTGCTTGGCAACTCTGTAATATTACTCAAAAACTTTCTAGGGTTGAATACGTTATTACCAAATCATTCTAAACAAATATAAAATACATGGTGTTCTATTTAAAAAACATACATTTTTATTTGCCAGGCAAAACGCAACAACCTGTATATCCAAAAATATTTATAAAACATGTATTATTCAAATCCATATAAATTTTATTTGAAACTTTTATTTGAAACTTTTTTGCGTTCCTATAACACAAATTAAAATATTGAACAATTATGCACTAATGGGACATCCTGTATAAAATTTTATGTGATCGTTTTAATAATCGTTTATTATTATTTTCTCTTTTTCGCCTTTTGTGAGCAATTTACGTTACCGCCCGGTGGGCGGTAAAGTAGTCCGCGGGCGATAAAGGGATACTTTACGCCCTCTTAAATTTATAATCTGGACTTTATCGCCTGGTCGGCGTGCATAAAAGATATTTAATTTACGCATCTAATCATTCATGCGCTTAAAATATGCAATAACTAGCAAACCGTAATACCTAGCTCAGGTTGCATTTTTCTTTATAAAAAATTATTTTAAAATTTTTATAAATACTTTGATATTATAAAACAAACTTCTTTATTATAAAAAGTCAAGCAAAATAATAATTGTTTTATAAAACTGTAAAATGGATATTAACATTGATAAAATAATATATAGTTTAAGGAAAAGAATCGTATTGTTTAGAAAGAAACATTAAGTAACTATTTACACGTTTATTTACACTATTTACATTGGTTGTTACATTTATCAAAAGGAATGGCATAAAAAGCTGGTACAAAACCTGAACACTTCTCACGTCTCTAATCGTTGGAGTCTATATTCGAACTGCCTTGGCGGTTGACAAGGTGGGGCAAAAGAGCACTAACTGCCAGTAGTGCCAACATTATATATTAACATTGGGTGGCGCTATATTGGCTTAAACACTGTAACCGTTGGAACCGTTATTTCGACACAATCACCTCTTAAATGTCATTTGTCGTTTTCTTCTTCCTTTATTCGTCTTGTGAGAATTATTTTTGACTTGGATGACAACGAATCAACTTTGTTGTAGTTCTTTTTTTAAAAAATGTAATAAATTTTGTAGTTTTTTTTTTGACGAAACAGGCAATTTTTTCAAAAAAGTTTGCTAGCTCAGGACTAGTGCCACGTATTCTTTTTACACAAAAATTATGATATTATCTTTAATATTGTGTCTTTTGAGACTAAAACAGAATGCCTATTATTAATAAAAATTTCTTGCTATTGTCAGTGGAGCAATAATCATATGTCTCAGCAATTTTTAAAGAACATATTTGTAAAACACCCTGTATATCTAAAAAAAATAATAAGTAATACAAGTTATACAAACTTGATTTTCATAGTAAATATTGATTACAAGAATTAGGAAATTAACCGGTTTATTAATTGATTTATAACAAATTAGAACAGAAACATATCTTTAAAAAACAATTATTTTTATTATGAGTTTACAGATAAAATACCTAAAAAACTATTTAAGTACTTTGTTATTTAAAAAATATGTGTATTCTAGTTTAATTAAAAATGGATTCGTTTATTCAAATAGTGTTTTTGATTTTCATTTGTGCTCTGTTTGAATCTGAAGGTGATATAAAATTTATTTACTGCATAATTTTTGTGTTTTAAATACGATCCTATATTTCAAGAATTATTTTTATCTTTTTTACTCAAAATATTGTTATTTAAGAGCAAATCGTCACCTCAAAAATTTATAATTCATGATGAGCCTTTATTTTTAGTCCGATTTTTGTAAAATTTACAAGAAATACCAATAATGAGAAACCTTGAATTTTTTGTTAACCTTCGAAAAATATTTATTTTGAAAATTTTTAAAAATAATTTGAAAAAAAAAACATTTACGCGCCATTCTGTATTAAATATATAAGAATTTACTGCTTTTTATTTTAATAAATATCTAGTAGTTTTTAAATGAAATGCTTTTCCACCTTTTTTTCTTAAACGTCTCTGTAGAGTGCTGCCTTATAGTTGTTCAAATTTAAAGCTCTCAATATTGTCAAGACACATAATATCACGAAGTATTTCCACGCATATAAATACAATTTTATGTTAGAAAATCCTTAAAACATGTTTGCTTTAGAGAGAGGTGGGGTTTCCTGTTAAGTAAAAATACAGGATGTAGATAACATGCACTCGAATTTTAAATTTTTGTACTACTTTTTTTATTCACTTCTAAACTTTTTTGTAGCAACATGTCCGAATATTATATCAAGAGAGGAATGGGGAGCAATCAGACCTACAGAAAAGCATCTATTTCTAGTCCGTCCTGTTCCGTTCGTAGTTATACATCATTCCGATACGCTCGGTTGTAATACCACTCAACAATGCAAGGAGCGTATAAAAAAACTTCAATTACAAAATATGTCAATTTTGGGTTCACATTTACACGATATCAGATATCATTTCATGGTAAGCACTGTAGTAGTAGATCCCAATACGTTTTTTATTGAAAATACTTACCTCAACTGTATATTCTTGATTGTTGTTATTTATAATAATATTACACTTAAAAAAATGTAAATTTTAGATAGGTGGTGATGGAAATATATACCAAGGAAGAGGTTGGGATAATAAAGGAGCTCATGTCAAAACATACAACTCAAGAAGCATTGGTATAAGTGTTATGGGACATTATGAGAGTAAGTATACAATTTTAAGATGATATGTAGAAGTTTAACTATGATACTCCAAGCCAATGGTAGATTTTTAAATTAACTTAGCGCCACCTTGTATTTGGATGTAGAATTAAAATGAAAAATGGCAATAAATTTAAAATGCAATTTTTAGTAGTATAGTAGTTATAAGGTAAATTCTAAAAATTATTTTACAAAAAAGTTGGGAAATAGTAATATATTGGAACTTAATTTATTATTCCGTACCTGTATATTTTCCTTCATAATACAGATGCCACACTGTCTTTTTGTGATAAATAATTTAGAGATCTAGGCATGGGCGCCTCCAAAACTTTTTCCAGGGGGGGGGGGGCAGAATGCAAAATTGTGAATTCTTTAAAAAAAAATTACAAAAATGTGGGGATTTATAGACACTATCCGCTATCGTGTAATACGATACGGAATATAATGAGCTTAGGCATGGTTGTCAAATGGTGCCGAATTTACCATTTCAAGGGATAAGATACCGAAGCTCGAGAGCAAAATCCCGATAAGTTATTAAATTTAGTTATGAAGATATTGCTGTTCTTTTAATTACAAATAAATGCTTTTGATGGTTCGCCTGCGTCAGTTTATAGTACATATTACTTATAAAGTTTAAACGGATTGCTTTATTTTTTTTTTTAATTCGCAAATGTGAAATTACAGGATTTAAAATTTTTGTGAAAACTAGTGATCCACTACTAATACCAAACGGTATGGCTAAGAAATCATAAAACGAATTTTCAAAGTGAAATATATCATGTTCATACATTTTTTTAGCACACAGGCTTTTTTCAGTTCAGTTGACCACATGTAATAGTTTTTAGACATTCATTTTGTTACTACTAATGTTTTCCATTTAAAAATGAATAACAAATATACTAATGTTTTAGACCTCTTCGATGCTCTATTTTCTGGTTATTGTTAGAAAGACGACTCGGTGTGGGTGATTGGCTTCTTCGGTACGCACATCTACTGTAATTATTTTTGTTGGTCTTAGTAATGGACTTAAAAAGATTGATTTATATGATTTTTCGGTCTCATTCGCTGATTCTTGATTTATAGAATGAGCCATGCTTCTACAGGTTCTTTGAAGGTACCCGACTCTTCCGCAATTGAAGCATTTCCTGCTTCTTTTTTGGCTGTTTCGTTGCATATTTCGTAGGATATTTAAGATTTGGGAAATAGCATTAGTATTGGCCTCCTCACTTTCCATGAAGCTGAAACTAGTCGCCAGAGTTAGCAGCCCGTGTGAGAAAATGCATACAAGTTAGATATCACAAAATAAAGCAATATTACTACTTAATTTGTCTTATTATAATAATATCAAAAATGATAACAACAATAATAATGATAATAACAAAAGTGAGGATCCGTATTTGGAAAAAAAAATATCAGTAAAAATGTTATGAATATAGGTACTTTAAAAAAAAACTTTAAATATATATTCAAATTTTTCTTAACGAAACATGATCGGCGCTGGGTTAAATCATACATAAATAGATTCTTCAAGTAATAGGGTACAAGAACACATCAATCAAAAAAACAATATCGAGTGCTGGATTGTTGAAATTATTATATTTGTATGCTAGAGTAATACCTAACACAAAAAACATATTGTTTTTTTAATGAAAAATTAACGGCTCTGGGTTTCATCGTACATAAATGGAATCCTCAATCAATATGCTATAAGAATCAGTTAATCAAAAGTACATTATCGGGTGCTAGAACGTTGAAAATATCAAAAAACATTCAGGCTCGAGAGAAATTTCCAATAAAAATGTGATTTCTCCTAACGAAAAACTATCAGCGCTGGGTTATATGATATATCAGTGGATTACTCAAGCAATAGGCTACGAGAATACGTCAATATAAAATACAATATCGAGTGCTAGAACGTTGAAAATAACAAAAATTAGTTAGGATAGAGACATTTTTCTCGTAAAAATATGATTTTTCTTTAAGAAAAATTAACGGCGCTGGGTTTTATCTTGCATAATTGAAATCCTCAACCAATATGCTACAAGAATCAGTTAATCAGAAGAACATTATCGAGTGCTAGAATGTTGAAAATATCAAAAAACATTCAGGCTCGAGAGAAATTTCCAATAAAAATGTGATTTCTCCTAACGAAAAACTATCAGCGCTGGGTTATATGATGTATCAGTGGATTACTCAAGCAATAGGCTACGAGAATACGTCAATATAAAATACAATATCGAGTGCTAGAACGTTGAAAATAACAAAAATTAGTTAGGCTAGAGAAATTTTTCTCGTAAAAATATGATTTTTCTTTAAGAAAAATTAACGGCGCTGGGTTTTATCTTGCATAATTGGAATCCTCAACTAATATGCTACAAGAATCGGCGCTTGGTTATATCGTGTATCAATGGATTTCTTAATTATTACGCTACAAGAAAACGTCAATCTAAAACATATTATCGAGTGATAGAGCGTTAAAAATATCAAAAAACATTTTCTAAATATCCATAATCCAATATCGAGTGTTGATTGATTGAAATTATATATTTTTATGCTATATATAACATATGATTAAATCATAAGGGATTCATCAAGTGATAGGCTACAAGAATACCGTAATCGGAAATACAATATCAAGTGTTACAACGTTGGAAATAATAAAATATATTTAAGCTCTGGAGACTCTTTACATAGAAAATATGAATCTTCTAATAGAAAAATTATCGGCGTTGGGATAAATCATACATTAGTTTTTCGTTAATAGAAATCACATTTTTATTGGAAATGTCTCTCGAGCCCGAATGTTTTTTGATATTTTCAACGTTCTAGCACTCGATAATGTACTTTTGATTAACTGATTCTTATAGTATATTGCTTGAGGATTCCATTTAGGTACGATAAAACCCAGCGCCGTTAATTTTTCTTCAAGAAAAATCATATTTTTGCGGGAAATATTACACTAGCCTATCTAATTTTTGGTATTTTCAACGTTCTTGCCCTCGATATTATATTTTATATTGACGTATTCTCGCAGCCTATTACTTGAGTAATCCACTGATATATCATATAACCCAGCGCCGATAGGTTTTCGTTAAGAGAAATCACATTTTTATTGGAAATGTATTTCGAGCCTGAAAGTTTATTGATATTTTCAACGTTCTAGCACTCGATAATGTACTTTTGATTAACTGATTCTAATAGCATATTGGTAGAGGATTCCATTTATGTACGATAAAACCCAGCGCCGTTAATTTTTCATTAAAAAAACATGTTTTTTGTGTTAGGTATTACTCTAGCATACAAATATAATAATTTTAACAATCCAGCACTCGATATTGTTTTTTTGATTGAAGTGTTCTTGTACCCTATTACTTGAAGAATTTATTTATGTATGATTTAATCCAGCGCCGATCATTTTTCGTAAAGAAAAATTTGAATATATATTTAAAGTTTTTCTTTAAAGTAGCTATATTCATAACGTTTTTACTTAATATTTTTTTTTTCAAATACGGATATTCTCACTTTGTTATTATCATTATTATTGTTATCATTACTAATATTATTATAATAAGAGAAATTAAGTAGTAATATTGCTTTATTTTGTGATATCTAAGTTATATGCATTTTCTCACACAGGCTGCTAACTCTGTCTGCTAGTTTCAGCTTTATTCACTTTCCTGGGATTTACTTTCCCTCACTTTTGCGCGAGAAAATCTGGATAGGAGTTTTATCGCTTTATATTCCTGGGCTACAATCAGTGTCTCCCTCAGCGTCTTGTGATGTTGTAGACGAAGGACTTGCTGCATTTCCACATCTTGTAGTCCATCAATGAATGCTTGTATTCCGAGTTGTTCTTGGAAATCTTTCGGCACCTGTGAATAGGCCAGATGAATCAACCTTCTTATATCAGCCTCGAATTCCTGTAGACTCTCATTATGTTTCTGACTATGAACTTTTAGCTTTTAGCTTGCAAATGCTGCCGGCCATATCTTGCCTCCAAAGCTTCGATGAGAGATGAATAACTGGGTTCCTCTTGAGGAAGTAACTGTAAAACGGTTTTTGCCTGACCTCGCAGTGACACTATCAATGAAGCCGCCATCTCTTTCTCGGTCCAGCTATTGGCTCTAGCTGCAGCTTCAAATTGGAGTCGATATGTTTTCCATGTTGTCTGACCGTCAAACGTGGGTGGCTTAAGGGTCTTGCTAGTATAGTTTTGTGAAACTGGGATTCGAATGTGGCTTGGTTCCGTTACGAATGAAAACGAGGTAGTAGTGTTTTCAGTTTCTCTGTTGCTTATCGAAGCTTGGCTACGAATTCTTCTTTTTAACTCAACTAGTTCAGTTCTAATTTGCCTTTTGAACTCTACTCTAGTCTCTTCCTGTTGTTTTAAAATCTCTCGTTGTTCTTCTAAATAAGTTTTTAAATGCTCTTGCTGCTGTTCTATATTAGCTTTTAGATGCTCTTGTTGTTGCTCTAACAGATCTACTCTAATTTTTAGCTTGAAGGTTTCCTGGATTTGTAGCAAACCGTTCATAATTTCAATCGTTTCTTCTCTACGCCTCTCCTCCGTTTCCTCTTCTTCGTCGTTCTTGCGCCTTTCCTTTTCCTCCTCTTCTTCCTTCCTACGCCTTTCCTTTTCCTCCTTTTCTTCCTTCCTATGGCTCTCCTTTTCCTCCTCTTCTTTCTTCCTATGCCTTTCCTTTTCCTCCTCCTCTTCCTTCCTACGCCTTTTTTTTCTCCTCTTCTTCCTTCCTACGCCTTTCCTTTTCCTCTTCTATCTTCAAAAACCATGCTGGTGGGCCTGAAGTATCCATGCCTGCTTCGTACTCAGTAGATCTAGTATTTACCATGAACTTTTACTTTGTATCCCACCGCTGTCACCAATGTTATGCAGGTTTTTGGTATCTTAATTTATTTCAACTCAACTTTCACAATAACGATACAACTGATAAAATTAACATGTAACGTCTATCATCAAACTGAAAACTGACGTCAGGATCATC